CTCACGTTGTGCTCCCCGATCTCCTGGAATCTCCCGAGCTAGAGTTGGCACCCTGTCACTGCCTCCAGGTGCTCTGAAGCTAGGTTTTATAAATGGCTGGGCAAGAGTCAGTCATAGAGGTCTGGGGAAAGTATACAGCCTGAATTTCAGGTGCCAAGTGGGCAGTTCCATCAGTGATGGCCCTTTTGTCAGAACCCACAGCCAACAACGGAGTGCACACTTCTTTAGAAAGGTTATACTTATATTGAAGAGCCATAGATGCATTAACATAGTCACTGTTAAGAATAGCGGTTGTCTCTTGAATCTAATGAGATATAGGGCATTCGTATGCACCCGCCTACTGCGCTGGCCAATTAGGCACCCTCCCGCGCGCAGGCTAGAGCCCGGCAAGCGTTACTAGGCGAAGCTGGGAATTGTGGGGCTCCCACGGTTGGCCTTGAAGGCCGTCAACACACATTACCACTTGTACGGCTTTGGAGATTAGCATTTCAGCGCAGAGCAGAGAGAAAGGAATGCGAAAGCAATTTACACAGACACTGAAAGAACATCCCAACCCCCATGTGGGAAATCCCATTTTCCTCACTGTGGCAACTTTTGAGCCATCGTCTTCTTCAGCGCTGGTTGGGACTGGACTATTAAAGCACTTTTGACTGACTTGGCAGCGATACATCGGCCGTGCTGAAACCATGGCAGCTTATACAAGACAGGGTCTTCACCAGACTCCAGCGTTACGTAGAACCTTTTCACTTCCCAGGTTCAATGCTCTCCCTTTAGCGATCTTAACTGGGAGGTTTAATAGTATCCCTTTGGTTAATAGACTATGCCCCTGTGCAAGCGGGTCAGTTGAAACGGTGTCTCACGTGTTATTGGAATGCCATTATTATGCCAATATCCGACGCCGCATTTTATTGTCATTACTTGGTGGTATCATAGAGCTTCCTGACTTACACAAATGGCTTTATTTGCTAGACAGCGATGATGAAAATATAACTGTTTCTGTGGCAGATTTCTTGCAGGCTGCTCTTGTTATTTGTAGTACAGTATCGTAATACAAAGCTTGTGCTAAGGAGATATGAAATTGAGATGTATTTTACATTGATTTAGACTGTCTTCGAATGTTTTTTCTCCTTGATTGGTATTCTTTACTTTATCTTTTGTATATTACTCTTTTTAATGTAAATGCCAATAAAGGTAATTGAACTGAATTGACAAGACAGGATAAGAAATGCCAGTTGAGAGGTGGTGGGGTGAGGGCTGTCTGTCTTCAGCCAGAGCACTTTTACGTCAGCAGCCATCTCCCGGTCTTAGCCCTTAGGATATTGGCCTACCTTGCAAGGGTGTTGGAATGATTGCAGGGGAGGTGCTTTGAAAGCTCAGACCCCTGGTTAGCAACTCGGTACCTGTTCCTGGAGTACATGGATGCGAATTAGAAGAAGAAGAGATTGGATTTACACCCCGCCCTTCACTTGGAGTCTCCCCACAACAGGCACCCTGTGAGGTGGGTGGGGCTGAGAGAGCTCTGACACAAAGTGCTCTTTTTCAAGGACAGCTGTGCCAAAACTATGGCTTGCCCAAGGTCATCCAGCAGGTGCAAGTGGAGGAGTGGGGAATCAAACCTGGTTCTCCCAGATTAGAGTCCGAGCACTTAACCACTACACCAAATTAGTTATCGTATGGCACTGTGTGTAGAATAGCCCTGAGATCCTAAGGTTGTCTGGCAGCCAGAAGTTCTAGCTCCTTTAGCTTGGATGCTTTTGCTTGGATGCTGCTTTGGTAAGAGAAGGGTGCATGTAAATATTACAATGCACTCGTGTTCCTGGCTGTTAGACATCATGAGATCAAGTCACACCCTGGTAGTGATCAGCTATGGAAGGGAGAACATCCCCTCCCCCTTCCCTTCAAGCTTCTGGGAGTTGAGATCATTGAATTTTAATTTTAATTTTATTTCATTTCCTCTCCTTTCTTCTCCCCAGTGGAAACCCAAAGCAGCTTACATAGTTCTCGTCTTCATTTTATCCTCAAAACAGCCCGTGAGGGTAGGTTAGGCTGAGGGTGTGTGAAGGGTTTTTCCAACTTTGTGGCCCTGGTACATACAGATGTTCCTCGGGCTGGCTTGGAAATGCTGAAGGATTTTCACTGTGTGGTAAATGTATGAGAGCCTTTCAGTCAGCAGCTGTGTACTCACGTGGATCATCTCAGGGTCTTTCTTTTACTTCATTTATACCCCAGTTTTATATTTTATTTATTTATTTTTCCGGTTTATACCCAGCCCTCCCTGCTGGAGGGGATTCCGATTTATACCCCGCCCAATGGGGACCCAAAGCAGCTTACAACTTTCTCCCCCCTCCATTTTATGCCCACAACAGCCCTAGGAGGTAGGTCAGGCTGAAAGTTGATTGGCTGGTTCAGGGTCGGCCAGCAGGCTTCCATGGCAGAGCGGGGATTTGAACTCAAATCTCTCATCTCCTAGTCCAGTACTCTGGCTGCTGCAGCATGCTGGCTGCGTAGAGAACCGGCGCTGTCCTCAGATGCCAAGACCTCCCATAAAAGGATTCGCCTAAACATCTTCCCAACGGATGCCTCACTGGGTTTTAACTCTGGATTTCTGGAGTCGTTCCAGGTTTACAGTTCTGATTCTGGAGTTGCCAGTTAGCCTAGCATGCATGTCCTCTCTGCCAAATTCTTGAGGTGCTTTACCTGCCAGGCTATGGACAAGCAATAGTAGTTAACGCTTCTGGGTTACATGACCAGCACTATACATATCAAAACTACTCCTGCCTAGAGATGTAAAATTTCCGTAATCAATTTTTTTTCTTTCCTTTTCCTTTTTCAATTTTTCCAATTTTTCGGAAAAAAACAAAAAAGGCTTCAGGGAAAAACGGAAAAAACTCCGTTTTTCCCCAGAATTTTCCCGTTTTTTCCCCGGGCTTTTACATCTCTACTCCTGCCTGTTTTCTTTTCCTAAGTTTTTTTTTAAAATTATATCCCACCTTTCTCCCCAGTGGAGACCCGAAGCACCTTACATAGTTCTCCTCTCCCCCATTTTATCCTCACAACAACCCTGCAAGGTAGGTCGGGCTGAAAGTGGGCACCTGGCCACAGGTCACCCAGCAAACTTTCATGGCAACTGGGGATTCGAAGCTGGGTCTCTCAGATCCTAGTTGGATACTCTAGCCACTCCACCACAATGGCTTTCAAGCTGAAGTAAAGCATGGTGGCTTCTCTTAGCAAAGTGGAGGCGTCGCTTTTCCTGTTCTCTCTAAAGTCTGACAAACCTCCCTGCAATCCACACTACACCTTTGACTTTCTCTCTCTCTCTCTCTCTCTTCTCGCTTTCCACAGGAGGAGGAAGATGAGCCTCAAGTCGGAACGCCGAGGCATCCATGTCGATCAGTCGGAGCTGCTCTGCAAGAAAGGATGTGGTTACTATGGCAACCCTGGGTGGCAAGGCTTCTGCTCCAAGTGCTGGAGGGAAGAGTATCAAAAGGCCAGGCAGAAGCAGATCCAGGAGGACTGGGAGCTTGCTGAACGGTAAGGAGATGCCTTTGTTGCATGTGAATGGATCTGGGTGCTTATATCTCTCTGGTCACTGTACCCTGTGAGAGCTCTCGGAGAGAATTTTCTGCGGCACAGAAAGAGAAACCGTTGTCTACGGATTGTTTTGCAAAAGCATTGCAAATTGCGCTTCCCATAGCGAGGCACGACCCCCTAAGGATAAAACCTCCAGTTCCGAGAATGTGCGGCGGTGTTGGTAGGAAGTCTGGAGGCCCAACTGGGATGTACACAATAGCCCCAATCTAAGGCAAGCTGGGCCTTTCTTTTGGCTGATTGCTGTAAGAAATACAGGCCATGCTTTTTTCTCTAGCCTTAAAACTTGTATAAGTATGTGACGCTGCCTATATTGAAATTAAATAATTGAGGGGAAGAGAGGCTGTGGCTTGGTAGTAGAACTGCTTTGCGTTCAGAAGGTCTCACTTTTTGTCCTGGTCATTTCCAGTTAAAGGGTTGGGGATTGGGGAAGATCTTTCCTTGAGACCCTGGAGAATATTGAACTAGATGTAATCCATGGAGACCTGTGTTGTCTCCTTTGACTTTGAGTAGCTGATGGTTCCTAGCAGGCTGTGTGACAGAGGTGCTTGGAACAGTAAGCTACGCAGCTAGTTGCTCCTGCTTTTCTCTGGGTTTGCCTGCAATTCCATCTTAGTCGGTGGTTTTCCGGCTTCCTCATAGCTACTTTCTCATAGGGTGAATGCAACCTGTGGCCCGGGTCTCCGTCTTCGGTGCAGGTGGGGCCGGGTGCTGGTCACTGCAAACTTGGGCCACACTTTTTTTTTGCCGGAACTAAACAGAGGTCCCATTTCTCTCCTCGGGAGCCAGGCTGCAGCGTGAGGAAGAGGAAGCCTACGCCAGCACTCAGCACCCTCAAGGGGCCCAGTCGGCCCAGTCGCTCACGTTCTCCAAGTTCGAGGAGAAGAAAACCAACGAGAAGTCACGGAAAGTGACGACCGTGAAGAAATTCTTTGGGGCTTCTTCCCGGGCAGGATCCAAGAAAGGTACCTGTGAGCTTTCCTTCTGGCATTCTTATTTGTAACTCCCTGTCAGTGTTTTAAGTGGTTCGTGTACTTTGTCCTAGTAATCATTCCAATGGCCTCATAAAGTAGGCTGGTGTTAACATCTGGAAACAATGGATGGAGAAGGGCTGAGGTAGTGCCTTGCTTCAGGCTTCCCAGTGGGTTTGTCGCGGAGGAGAGATTTGAACCAGTGCTGTGCCCCCCCCCCAAAAAAAATTGCAGCTTGTTCTCCTTAGCTTGGAAGTAGGTGGATTACAGCTGGGGGGTGGGGGTAGGGGGCTTTGAAGGAGAGGCACATCCATCCCCTCAAGCTGCTTAGCCTTAGCCAACCCGAAAAAAACTACAAAACAACTCAAGGAACGAGTGTCATGAAGAGCAGCAGAGTGGGAGAGAATGCTCCACATCTGGCACTGCAAGCTGGAAGAGCCAGTGTTCGACTCGGAACCCAGATGTGGCCATTCGGCCAAAAAAATCCCTATCTCTGTCTTAGCCACCAGCTCATGATTGGGCGGTACTTCTCTCCAACGCAACAATTTGATTGACCATACTTTGGATTTCTAAGCTTCTGTTGAAACCCTTTTCTGATCTGAGCAGTTGAAATATTAATTCGGAACCCGGCTGTCTGGAAGTCGCGGAGCTTTCTTCCTAAAGGTTCGAAGCCCTTTGCATTCATTGGTACAGTGTCCCTGCAAACTGGGGCAGCTTAATTTCCCCCATGTAATACAGATGTCAGAGACTGAGGCTGAGACGGAGTGGGTTGCCTAAGGCCACCTGGTCAGTGCATGGCAGCAGCTCAAGAGCAGCTCTGTGGCCTTCCTGTCTCTCTCAGCTCATTCTTTTAACCACTGTGTCCTTTGTATGCATAAGAACACCTGGAATGTTGCATATTAGAAGAGCAGATCATCGTAAAACTATGTCAGGACCACTCTGATAACTCTAAAATTAGACCTTTCCAAGTATGAATAAATACGTGCAGCTAAAAACAAATGGAAAGGTGCACAGTCTCTTTTGTCTTCAGCACGAAGTAGGAGGTATGATTCACTCTCCGTAAAATATTTCTCCTTCCAAGATCGGAGCATGTAGATCAGGCATTAAATAATCTTGGTTGCAACAGGACAGCCCCTGCAGCCTGTGTGCTGTGTGTCCCTGTGCCCCTTCCTGCAAGTGGTAATTTCACATGACGAATCTCAAGGCAAGGCTGGTAAACACAGGTGCCTGCTGAAATGACAGAAAAGGGAAGCCGTGTGGTTTGTACCAAAAATATTTGGAGCAATGGTTGAAGAGGACCCTGTCTGGACCAAGGACGAACACTCTCCCGTTCTCAGGCGCTGAGCTCACAGCCACTTGGGGCCTTGGGGTTCTCACTGGGTCCTGGTCCTTTGCTGAGGTTCTTTTACACCTGGGTTCCTCTCAAGGATGCAGACAAACACTCAGCAGACACTCCCAGCATGGTAGGTTAAAAAATACCTCTGCATTTATTTGAATCCTTCAAATAACAAAGAGTGTTTGCTCTGCAGAAACCACTCACAAATTACAGCAATGGCAAAACAACAACAACACTATACTTGCACTGGGCAGAGGCTGAGCCTGAAGCATTAACTCCTTGGTGGCTTCCTTCACTGGGGTAATCTTGCGACCTGGTTTTCTCACCCGAAGGCTTAAGAAAGAGAGTCCACTCCCACGGGCGTAGTCCGCAGCATTTCAGCTTGAAGTCCTGGAGGCCTCAGCCTCTGTTTGTTTCCTGTGTGACTACTGCCCAGTTAGGTCGCCCCTGGCAGCCAGATAAAGGCATCTTAAGCAGCTGGTCAAGGCCACCAGGTGTTTTTAATTAACACTCAGCCCAAACAGGCTGAAACCAACCTGTGAAAACTTATCGCTTGGTCGCATCATGTGGGGGGGGGGGGGGAGGGCCCTAGGGGGGCAGGAACTTCTTTTTAATCCCTTTTACAC